GTGATTCAGGGCTGTGTTTAACTAGTGAATTCCTGGTATAAATTACAGGGCCTCGTAAAAGCTCGTGCCTTCGCGAGAGACGGGCCACTATTTCCCAACTTTCAGCCGAACGAAGCGGCAGTGCGAGAAAAATGCTTCAATCGCGAATAAAGCGAGAAACAAAAAAGCGGCAGACGCCTTGAGCAGGTTACGCAACCGACTGGCTGCTAATAATTCGGCATAGAATAACTAAAGACAAGAGGCGCAAAAAGTTCCAGGAGCAATTCATTTCAATCTCGTCCTCGACCAAAAGCAAGAAAAAAAAAAAGAAACAAATGTGAAGAAAAAAAATGAAATCCTTCGTCAGATAATATTAGATGGAGAGGCGATGGAAAGAACACAATCGCCGTCATAGGCGAGCAGCCCAAGGACGAAAAGAAAATAAACTTTTCTTAACCATGCCGCGTGTCGGAACGCGTGGAGATCTCGCAAGGTAGATATCTTTTAAATACAAAGAAGGGGGGGGGGAAGATAACGGACGGACAGTAAAGAAAAGAAACAAACAAAAACTAATTAAATGGTAGACGTTCCCGGGTTCAACATGCGAGAGGCATCCCACACAGCTCCCTCGATTACACCAGAAAAGGAGAGAACTGCGGGGCTCGCCCGAAGAGGCGAAAAAATCGACAACGAGCCTGAAGATTCGCCCAGCGTGCGATCGCACAGTCGAAGAGTGCGGCCGCGATCACGTGACGGCTCGGAACGCGGTGATGAGGAGAATTCACTGCCAGAGGGACATGAGCACAGGGACGACCGCTAACGAGCCACATGCTGCAGGGAACAGAGAGAGAGAGGGAAAAAGAGAGGGGGATTCAATGGCTATATATATGTATATTGACGGAGACCGCATGCCCGCGGCAAACCGCTTGAGTCCCAAGCGTAAACGCAGCAGGCCAAGCAATAGGAGAACAAGCCCTGGCGAGAGTTCGAAATGACCAACAGAAGCTGGATGCCTCGTTTAGAGGCAAATCGGGTGGGGCGGCGGAAACCACCTATTTGTATTGGCATCGACAGCCCACGAGGAGAAATTTCATCACCCCGTTCCACGGACGTCCTTCCCTCCCCTCGAGCGCGTACGCCAACCGTGTAGTGTTGCGAAAGAAGCCACCGCGAATTTAACGCGAGAAAAAAAAAAAAATATGAAGAAGAACGAAAGAGGGGGCGTGACGGGGACAGTGATCCGTCTTCGTGAAGAGGTAAACCAGCTCTATATATAACGCGCCGCGTTGTTGCCATCGCCCCAATTTCGGCGATAAAAGGCAACGCGCAAATTTTAAAATCGATGACTCATAACGCCACTATATATTGGCTTGCCGAGGGCGCATTGTCTGAAAAAATAACTAAAAAGAAAGCCCGAATCACTCACCTCACTAGCGGAAAAAAAAATATATATTGCCAAGCATCTTGGTGTTTTCCCGAAGTCCAAAGTTTCATATTTCCGGCTACCTATCTAGTTCAGGTATACACCACTCACCTCCATTCAAGCTCGCTGATACAGAAACTTATTTCTCGCAGCAATTACCACTGCGTATCAACCACGTATAACAGTACGCTCGGTTTGGGAACTGTGCCGAATACTCCTCACACTTCTATCGACATATTCTTGGTTTTCATACATACATGGACGACGTGGCAGCAAAACTAAGGGTTCGCAGCTTGTCCGTCACACGATCGCGATACAATAAAAAATACGCGAGGAAGCTTTGTCTTATAATAGATAAAAAACCATAAGGAAGGATACAAAACTAATAAGTAAGCAACAGCAGCGCTATAGGCAGGAGCAACGTGCATGGTACTTGAAGAGAGTTTCGGCGTATATATCAATAAGCCAAAACGTTGTGAAGAACTTGCAGCCTGCGTGCAATCAACTACAGCAGAAGGAATCGAATAACCGTTATAAGCCACTGCATCCAACGTGCAGTCACGAGTGAAAAACATGTAACGAGCTCAGAAGTTTCCGGCCAAGCATTTGCTGCAAGGCAGCACATGTAGCAAGCGTTGCACATTCATTCAACACGCGAACGCGCGGATCTATATTTAGGCGACTTAGCTTGGCGTGCGTAAATATCCGTTAGGCGGTCTCGTAACTAGCACATGCGCGTGCCCGTCAAATCAGAAAGCCGGAACAGTACGTAAGCTTAAAAACAATAAAGCACAAGTGATAAGGATAAAGAGTAACCGCAAACATATTCGTTTTCTCCTTGTGTCATTGTTGCGAAAACTCAAATGCTCTCATCGTCGCTTACACATGAATTTTTGTCTTTATAGCATCGTCACTTAAAACAGTTGGTAAAATTTCGCAGAATTTTAAAGAACATATTTGAGTAGAACTCTAATTAAAACAGTATCATAATTCTTTACAGACGTTTGTTGAAATGTACTGCAAATATTCGTGTAGGTCATCATAAATATGGTCATAACCACGAACCGGATTTGTCCACTGTACAGAACCGCCACATCCGTGTTTGGTGTTACGACTTCGTAAAATGAGTACGCACACCTACTTTTTACGAATTTCACAAATTTCCGCTTCACTCTCTTTTTTTATCTCTTTCTTCTGGGTATTATTGCAGGACCCAGAAACTCTGCTTCCTGAAATAACTTTAATTACTTTCCTCGTTGCTTTCTCAAAAGCAACACGTCCAACTTAATATCTGACAAGTGCGGCTGCCTCGCGAAAATATTGCTGCAGTTTTCAATCCACTTCAAGCACGCAGAATCGGTGTTGGCCACAAACTACAAAGTTTCTCTCTAACCAGCCCCTAACCGACCATAAACACGTTCTTCACAAAATTCAAGAAGTTAAGGGTAAGGCGTTCAGACTGCAAAAGAAGAGCGAAACTTGCATCCAAGGCTAAAAATGCACCGCCCTGCTGTATACAATGTAACGTATACTTATGGGCGCACGTGCTACACAAAGCACGGGCGAAGATATCGTCCCATATATCAACGTGGATGCGCGTCGCAACAACGAGCATGGCGCATGTTACCCAATCTTGTTTACATTTATTCGTGTCGTTAAAAAAGGAGAGCGAGATGCACGGTAACATCCGTCACACGCCCGCTCGGTTCTTCTCACTTCACCAGTCATCTTTTAAACCACTGGTAGCGAGTGAAAAAGACTGTACGCGTGGCGCATTAGTGCTCTTTCACTAAAAGCACTGCCTTTGAACAACCACTTTTGCTAGTTAATCAAAGTATGGAAACGATAGACACGGCGATGAGCGAGAGCGGAAGCGAGATGTATACAGCCACCAGCACCTTCAACACGAACACTTCCATGCGTGGCTAGGGCTAGTTTGATTGATGCCAGCTGAAGTGCTGGGCAGCTTTGCCGATATAATACCTCGGTAGGCCTGGATAGTATGTCGGCGTGTAAGGTTAGCATCTTGGCAACAGAACCCAAACGTACGAGGTGTCAGCGTCAATTAAACTGCTGCAGGACACGCGTGGAGCGTACGAGTTAAAGGTGCTGACGGATGTGCAAGTACGATGACACGGTTATAAACGATGAGCGTAATACAAAAGGAAATAAGCGCTGTCTGGCAGGTCACACGGAATGGCGAGCGAGCCAAAAATTCGTGACGCCCGTTGGTTTACAGGAACGCAGAGAAGATTGAGGTAGACGATTCGTGGTATGATTAGAATAGAAGGCACGCTGGAAAGTTGGTGAAACGCTTTGAGCGGGGATAGCTGGGCCATCCGCTACAAGTATCCGCCTTCAAGTTAGCTTAATATCGAGGCCTGCTCATTGTGACTTACGAGAATTGTGGAGGTGGTCGCTGTCGTAGTTGCCTTTCGAAGGGCGCAAAGGGAAGACGGAAGGTTAATAATAATGCCTCTCAGCATGCCAGCCTTTTCGAGATCAAGTTAACTTATATAGTTTGACTGCGACAAACGCCGATTCCTTGGCGTATCGTAATGCCACCAGCACATCCAACACGTGGCCCTTCGGTTGTTTCAACGAAGCGGCACACAAATGCACTACGCGAAGGACCACGAAGCAAGCATGAGCGGTTGGGCAACCTGAGTCCGTTGATTGATTGATATGTGGGGTTTAACGTCCCAAAACCACTATATGATTATGAGAGACACCGTAGTGGAGGGCTCCGGAAATTTAGACCACCTGGGGTTCTTTAACGTGCACCCAAATCTGAGCACACGGGCCTACAACATTTCCGCCTCCATCGGAAATGCAGGCGCCGCAGCCGGGATTCGAACCCTACACTATTCATTGGACCCTACACTAGCCTCAGGCTATGGGTCCAATCAGTGTTTGTAAACCTCATGTGACAAATGATAATAAACGTTCAATCAATCAATCAATCAATCAACCCACGCCCTGCGGGTCAGCAGCCGAGTACCTTAGCCACTAGACCACCGCGGCGGGGCAACCTGAGTCCGTGGCGTGAACGCAGAAATAATAGAGGAGGACGCCGACGACACTCCATCACGATCATGGGTTGCCGTGACAAGTGTAAACCAAGCTTGTAGGGTCAGGTGGAGCAAACGACTGCGGGAGCATCCAGCCCGCACTCATCGCACGTTTGCCGCCAGTCCTTGCTCGCCATCAGCTTTGACGAAGCTTCCGCCCTCAGTGTGCTGGCCACGCCGAAAGGTGATGTAGCAGCGGTCAAGATTACGCACACACGCTCTTCACGCACGTGCGAGAGCAAGATACTCTGGTCTACCCGCTATAGCCTAACCAAAACTACGATCCAGAAAGCGCGATCCCCAAGCGCGTCTATGGCGGCTGCACGGGAACCGCTTTTGATTATCTGAACGAAACAAAGCAAGAAGATGGAAAGGTTCACGCACGATGCAAGCAGCGAGCGCGGCCGTGACAGTGTCGGGTGCATACGCAGTAGCAGCAGGACAGGGTCGTGCCGGTCGTGCGCGGCTATTTGAGTGTGCGCGCGCGCGAGAGAGAGAGAGAGAGAGAGAGAGAGGCATACGCTCACCTTTCCCTGCATGATCAGGCGGACAGTGAGGGTGACGGAAGGGCCGTCGAGTGCCTTGGTGTCTACAGCTGCCATGGTGGCTGAGGTGGCGGCGGTTGGAGGAAGGACCGGGCAGGGCACAATGGAGGCTGGCAGCGGAACGGGCACGGAGGGGCGCTGCGCACACAAAAACAGGCACGGGGGGTCACGATCAAGAAGGCAGACTGGCACAGACAGGCGAGAAGCGAGGCGAAAAAAAAAACAACAACACGTAGCTCAATAGACGCCTGCAAAAGCTGAATATGACGTCACCATACGCACGTATGACGTAGCAGTGCACTGCAGGGCCGCGGCTTTGCCGTCAGACTGATGCCATCCAGAGCACCGCAAAACGCACGTCACGTCACGGCATAGGTCAGCTAAAACAATCACTCTTATTCAGACTACTCTAGAAAATAAATTATATATTCTTTTCGCACTTTGGCTCTCTCTGACTAGTATACTCACCAAAATTTTCCTTCAAAGGACTCAAACCCGAATCGGACTCAAATTGACCCGAGTATTATTCACCCGGCTCACCCAACAAACTCCAGACCCGATCTGAACCTGAGTGTGTCAACTCACGAGTGAGTTTGCCAACACATGAACGACGTATTGAAAAGCACCGCTGACCCGCTTTGCCGTGAGACTGACGTCGTCCACATCCCCGAAAAAAGTGCATCCATCTACTAAGAAACTACGACGAACGAAGCGCGGCACAGCGAGAGAACAGAAAACCCGAGTCAGTCACAGCATACACTGCGTGCGGAAAGCCGAGGTATATAAGCTGCAATACACATTCCCCACGCTTTGCGGCTTTTGCAAGAGAAAAAAACACACACACACACACACACACACACACACACACACACACACACACACACACACACACACACACACACACACACACCACACACACACACACACACATAAGATCGATATGCCCAATAGCGTACCAGAAACGTTCCTCACCAGTCCAAGAAGGCGAAAGGCGAAAACGCAGCTCTTCCTCTCGATCATATTATCGGCTCGGCAAGAGCCGCGGGCGAACGCGACTCGGCCGATTCGTGCCGTCTAGCAGCTCGCTCGCATCTCGTCCGCGATAAACGGTTAGCAGCAGCATCACCACCACCGGAATTTTTACGAGACGCGGTAGTGGAGCAGTTCCCCTTATCTCAGGGGGACATTGCGAGATAAGCGTCGGCCCGACTGCGTCGTGCGTTTATAGGCGCAAATTAGCAGCTTCCACAATCGCTGCGTCTTATATAGCCAAAAATGAAGAGACGAGTTCTGTGCTGGCAGATGACACAGTACGTCAGTTGGGCGCACCATGTATTAATATGGAACGCCCGCATTAATCCACGAGGACGCCCCATACCAACAAACCGAAACAAAATAAATGTAGAAAAAGTCAACACCAATTGTATTGCTGTGCTTTTACAGCACAGCTAAGAAAGGAGCATCGCATGACGGGCCATACAGGACAGTTGTGGAGCCGTACAAAATACGAAGCAAGTGAATTGATATCGCAAGGGCCGCCTTTACAAAGTGTAAGCACGATTCAAACACATTAATAATAATAATAATAATAATAATAATAATAATAATAATAATAATATAATAATTATTATTAATATTACAGGTGCACGTGTCACAACTACGATAATACTACGAGGCCTTCTAGTCGGATTACCCGGTTTAATTTTGACTTCTACGGGTTCTTTAACGTTCCTCAAATGTAAGCACAGGGTAGCTGTCATATTTCGCCCCACATCAAAACGTGGCCGTTGCGGCGAAAAAACCAAACCCCCTTCAGCTTAGCAGAGAACAAGTTCACGACAGACGCTGAAGGAGAAAGGCACATCGTCTCGGACAACATTTATCACCACTCGAACGTGTTTTGTGTTGACATTTCGATTCAGTTAATAGTTGTGATTGGACAGGTTTTTGCATAGACAGATTTCGCATAGACAGGTCGGATAGAGAGATGCTTTGGATTTCTATTCCGCGACGGCAACTATTGGGTAAGAGCAGAGGAGTACAAGGCGCCTCGCATTGGTACCAACTCCTCCTTACATACATTTAGTAAAATATAAAAGTTATTCTTAAACAACCTTTTTTGTACAACAATTTCACAGCGAAAGCTGTTATGAGATCACAACTCGGGTCACGCGCAGTTGTCCACCACCACCGCTGGTGTCCGTAACCACATCGCGCAAAATTAGAAGAAAAAAATCCTAGCACCAAATGCAGTGGGGCTCGAACCCGGGTGTGCTGGGTGCCAGCCCAGTATTCTACCACTGAGCTACGTCGGTTTTTTTTTCTTTAATGAATGACATTATCACCAGTAAAGTACACAGAACATACTTCATCAGAAGTTACGCCGGTGCTTTTTGTACTCTTTTATACATGGAAATAATGCAATCAAAGGTTATCAGAAATATGTATACAATTAAACGTTTCAAAATTATGCTCGCACGCACACATGCGGAAGACAGTTTCACACACTCCAACGAACCTTCGAAAGTCCGGTACACAAACACAAATGTCCAGAAGTCCAAGCCACTCCGGAACAGGGTCGAAAGTCTCTACAACACTGCGCATATTTGCTGCTGCTTCTCAAAAAACAGCCTTTGGCGAGCGAGGTGGCTCAGCATGTCTGTTAATCATGCGGCTCCTCCACAATGAATAAAGGCCCAATAGCACAATTAAATCATATGGCACATTATTGTTATTGGTTTTTTGAAAGGTAAAAACCTAGCATCATGAGCTGAATAATAGGATATCCTTTTTGATGGTTCTCTTAAGAATGTCTCAGAAATAACACGCATTACGGCAATGAATAAAACAATGCTCGATTGTTTCAGGCTCGTTGAACAGTTTGCAATTTAGATACCAGGGAGCGTATACACCTTTTTCGTGAATCAACGTCTTTACTGGTAATGTTGAGGTGTGTAGCTTTAAAAAAAAACGCATTCGCTGCTGGCACATTTCATGCACACGGTAACACATCATCACGACCTAGTCGAGATACATGTTGCTGTCGGTAAACAGGTTCAGGGAAAAGGGTGCTGACAAGTGCAGCAGTGAGTGTCATCCTGTCTACACTGTAGAGATATTCTAAAGTGAATCTGGCTTTCAAAAACTGCATAGCCTAAACAATTTCTTTCAAGAAACACCACCACTGCGAGTTTTCGGCAACTCTTGTCGTGACGAAAAGAAAAGAGAGGTGGTAAGCAAGACGGTTCTGGACAACAGCCAGAAAGAAACGGGTGACACATATCCTTACGGTAGAAAAATCGCATCACCAGTTGTCGTACAAACAAATGCGCAAGACCAAGCCCTTCTTTCTCAAGTGCAAGAAAAAGGTTGTCTCTTCGCATGGATGAAGAATTCCAAATAAAGCAGGCAAATATCTTGTGAATTGCCTGGATGTGTACGCGAGAGCAATGCAATGCTTGCAGAATGTAGACAAGCTTTGATGCAAGAAAGATGTCGCATGCTTTAGCTCTCGAAAATAACGGAAAGATCCCGTCCTTGCCAAGTTAATACCTTTCAACGGATAGTGCTTATGGCGGACGTCCAATGAGGGCCACTTACCAAGAGGCACACCAAGATAACGTACTGGAGCTCCGTTCCAGTGTATATTTGCGAAAACCGAGGGAGTTAATGCCAACGCGCCCAGCCAGAATTCCCTGGTTTTATCAAAATTTATATTAGCTGCGGATATTTCACAGAAACGCATATATTGGTGCTAACGGCTTCCTGAACACTCGGTTTATTCACGCAGAAAAAGGCAATGTCATCTGCGTAGGCCACTACTTTAATTTCCTCGGCTGCATATCTATATCCTTTAATACCAAAATTAAGTAGCACGCTTAAACAGTGGTTCCAAGTATACTGCAAAATGTAGAGGCGAAAGCGGACAACCCTGACGCACTGATGAATTTACATCTATTAAATCTGAAAAGTGCGCGATTCACAATTGTTCTTGTTGTGAGCTTTTTTGTAACACAATGATATGCCATTGTACATTACATCCCCTAACTGGAGATGTCTGGGCCGTCTAAACGAAAAATCATGTCACACCTTATCAAAAGCCTTTGAAAGGTCAATCTGAAGAAGAGCTACCTGATTCATGCTATAGTCAGTGCACTCAATGACTGATCGCACTACATAAATATTCGTCTGTGTAGAACGACCTCTTATTCCACATGTTTGATGGGCCTACACATTTAATAATCACTGTTTGCAACCTGTTGGAGAGGATCCTTGCAAATATCTTATAATCAACGTCACATAAAGATATATAGAGGCCTATATCCAGTTACTCTTTTTAATTTTCACTATCGGTGCTTTTCGGTATGAAAGTAGTATGGGCCTGATAAAAGGAAGGAGGAAGTTCCCCAAGTTTATAGGCTTCTTCAAAAAGTGCCTCAATAAAAGGAACGAGAAGTTCTTGAAACGTCATGTCGAATTCCGCGCTAAGGCCATCTGGTCCTGGAGTTTTGTTTCTCTGCACAGTTCTTATTGAATATTAATTTCTTCCTTAGTTAACGGTCCACCAATGGTGAGGCGATCATCTTCCTGTAAACATGGTATTAAATCAATGAATCGTTCAGCTTTTCCTTCATAGTCATCCGTCGGCTCAGCCGTGGTGAAGAGGCTTTTGTAATGATCCTCAAAAGCGGCTGCTATTTGCTATGTGTCTGTGCATATGGAGCCATTTGACTCAATTTGTAGTATCTACTCGGAGAGTGCGTATCGCTTTTCATCCCCAAGAGCTCCTTTTGTTGGTTCATCTTCAGTGAAACGAATAACACAAGAACGAATCATTGCTCCTCTGTATGCCTCTGTCTCACATTCCTGTACTTGTGTTCGAACTATATTTATTTCATCCCCGTACAAACCCGCCTCTTCGGCTTTCAAAAGCATGAAGCCTATTAAGTAAATCGATAAGATAACGTTTTTCATCTTTCTTCCCTTGTTCACATGAGACAATAATCGCTTCATTCTTAACTTTTTCTTAGAACATTTCCTATTGAGCAGAAATTGGCAGCTGTCGATATTGCATGGGCTACCACATGCAGCGATTCCTTGACTATTTTAACAAAAGATTCCTCTTGCAAGACCTGTACGTTTAGCTTGCCTTAGGCAGGGCTGATGTCGCGAAGGCAATCGCATTAATACGACTTATAAAGCGTTTTAAAACAGCGAAAGAGCAACCAGTCGTCGCACAATGCGAATAGCGTAACGCGTGGGACGTCCAATGCTCCAATCCATTACAAAAGGTTATTCTTGTTCCCCTATTTATTGTGGCGCACACTCACTACAGCCATAATTCCTCATCGTCGTCAGCCACTGCATGAACGATTGGCACAAAAACCCTTGCACATGTTTACCGGATACCACGCTTCTCAGAAGACTGACAAAAAATAGCATAGCGATTGCCGGTCTGCTTCAAAAAAAAAAAATCACTATTAATGCCTTAGTTGGTATCAAACAAGTGTGCTTGCAGTAGTTACTCAATGAGTGTTCTGAAAGGCTCTGAAAGGCCGCTCTTCTAGCTTTCGCTTCGACATGTGCTGAGCCTTCCGCGCCGGCCTGGCATTTTTTTTCGTACGAATCACCCCAGTGCAGCTTAACGAGCCTGGATCCAAGGGCAACGCACCAATTACTGTTATATTGCGAGTAAATTTGAAACGGCAGAGAAAACGGAGACTCACAGTTTCGTCGCCAGACCGATCACGCATGGCCACTGAGTCGATCGGAGCCGTTTCCCAGATAAAGCACACGCGTCGCACACCCGCGCGGGGCTTTCAACAGAACACGGACGCCCTGATAGCGACACCGACAGTGTTAAATGTCACCGGTGTTGTATACACCGAAGAGCCAAGCGAGAAGTTTTGCGAAGCACTGACAGGAACGACGAACCAGACGAGTATAGTGGCGATGAAAACGAAACGCGACTCGAGCGCCGCGCACCGTAGCTGGGCTGAGGAAAGAAGGTGCCCGGGCGACAAATGGGAGCTGGCACGCCGCCTCCGACACACGAAACAACACGTCGC